AGCCGCTATAAAAGACTCCTTATTTATACAGCAGTCCACTCAAATTAATGAACTGTTTATGAACGATAACAAGAGTCATACTAGTGAGGATCCAGAATCCATCATATACACAATATCTCGTATACAGGAAGAAGCATAGGATGTATAGCAAGTACAAGTTTCTATGAGCTGTTATAAAAGATCTGTAATACATACAATCTCTCTATAAACACAGATGTATGTAATGTACAACATGCCACTTATAGGTAAATGCAGAAAGACTTCAGTAAATGTAATATCCTATAATCAATTTAAGTCTGTGAATAAATACATCTACCTGCAGCAGTAGTGGATGTATTATAAGGAACAAAACCACAACGAAATGCATAAAAAAATGCAGCAAATGCAAACACCTATGGGTTATAACAGGAGATTTGTTAATGCACTACAATCCACCTGCATAAAGCAACAAGTAGTGCACGACATTCTACCTGTACAAAACACGCAAATACGGAGGGTCTATGCCAAGCACGAGCTTCTGTGAGTTGCTGTAGAAGACTCATTGAATTTTCAAAAATACCCCCGGACTTGCATGATAGTTTGTATACATATTGGTACATAAAGGTACACAAGGGGCAAACGCAATCATAAACCCGCATATGTCCCGTCGAGCGTATTGTAGGAACACACATGACGTCTAAGGATGCTGCGCAGGTCAACAGGTGAACTTAAGTTCGAACTCGATTTTTCTATGTGGGTTAATAGGAGTCGACATTGTTCAAACCATCAAACAAATATACGGTCATGAGGTCAACCGAGATATTTGTTTTAATACATTCATATTAGACATTCAAGGTCTATAATCAAGATAATTTGCTAAAAAGGCATAAAAGTCTACGAAACTCGATCCTCTGTCGATAACTCGACAGAGTTGACAAAGTTCAATCAACAAATGAAAATAACCTCAAACACCCTGATGATGACCATGTTGAATGTTTATCTCAACCGGAGGGATTCACAAATAATTTCAAATGCTTCTAAACTTCCACAAAAATTCAAATTCCTATAAAAATATAAGTGACTTTAACGTCACCCCGATGATGGCCGTATTGAATATAGATCTCAATCGAAGGGGTTAATTTTAAATATTTCAAAATGCCCTTATACTTTCACAAAATTCAAATATCTTCAAGTGATTTTAACGTCACCCCGATGATGTCCGTGTTGAATATATATCTCAAGCAGAGGGGTTCCTTCCAAACATTTCAAATGATATCCCAAATGTCCCCAAAATCCAAACTTTAAGATAAATTTCAATTCCAAATATTTAAAAATGGAAATTCATTCATAAAATACTTAAAGCAAACTCCATCCACCCTCTGCAACAATTTGTCGGGGTGGATAAATATGAATATAACTTCAGCTCACATAGAGCTAATGCATAGTCGAAAATATCACTAGGATCCATTCTCAAATAATCTCCTGTCAGTAAGGATGTGACACGTGTCCTTTGACTGACGATTTTGCCGTCAAATGGCACTGTAAGATAAACTGTTATGACCTGGGGCCCTCGAACTGAGTTGTTTTGCCACCAAATGACACCACGAAATATCGGTTATGGCCAGAGCCAATACGTTCCTTCGTGACATCAAGTCCTTGAGATATAAATCAATATGATATAATCGATAAGGCACAAAACCCTTTATTAGCTAAGGTGAATTCAAATTTGTCCCCTTTGACAAACATTCACCCCAGGTCTACAAGATCCCCTTGGACGAAACAACCCATGGCTGCCGACAAAGATCCTTTTATCAGGTTTGGTCGACTACCTCCTCTGACTAAGCAAACCAGGGACCATGATGGCCCGGGACGACAGAACCATGGGATCTTGATCGGGTCTATCATCCATTTCCCCACCCTATGCTTTAAGTGCAAGATGGTGAAATTTTCAATTTTAAATATGAACACTTTCTAAATACCTAAGCCTAATGCTACTACTATATGCAAGATAATACATATTTATACATATCTGATTGACGATTAGCCTTAATCGAAAGTTCTCTCTCGTGATCAGGGGGGTAATTAACTATAGGGGCTTGCGTCTATTGGAAACTAGAACTCAGACCATAAAGTTCTCGCAAAATGAGGGCGAAATCTCTGGGTAGTGTCTTATCTACAAACCCATCTTCCTTCCCAAAATTTACCCTGGAACTTAATTCCATTAAAACTCCAGCCCAAAGAAAAATCACAGTGGGCGGAGGACGGGGCCGAATTTTTGGAGCCCACAATCATGGTATGAAAGATGGGAAGAATTGTGCTAACATTAGATTTATTTTTAAGGAGGTAGATCCAAGAGACTCTAGTGCAATCATCAATGAATGACACAAACCAACGTGCCCTATAGATATTGGGGATTTTTTAGGGTCCCCATATATCACTATGAATAAGGTAGAAAGGAGTATCACATTTCTCACTTTTGTTTGGGAAGGAGGTTCTTTTATGTTTAGCAAACTCACAAGTTTCACAATAAAATTTTTTATTTTCTAATTTTTGAAAAAGTTGCTGATACATATATCTTAGGACATCAAAAGATGGATGTCCTAACCTATAATGATGAAGCCAAATAGTTGAATTCTTATCAACTAGGGATAACATAAAGCATTTATTTTTAGATTGGTTTGGTTATTCCAGTTAGTATAATCCTACTTTCTCCTTAACAAGTTCAATCTTCTTCCCTGATCTCTAGTCCTAAAATAAGCAATAAGTAGGGTTAAATAAGGCTTGACAATTATAATCATTGGTAAGTTCTTGTATTGATATTAAGTTTATGGATAATTGTGGTACGTGGAGCACATTTTTCAGGATGAGTGAGGGAGATAATCTTATGTCTTCTTGGCTCGCTACTGTGGTAAGAGAACTATCAACAGTGATGATTTTCTTGTTGTTTTGGGCAAGGAGTATAGTTGTGAAGTGGGTAGGTGAGTGGGTCATATGATATGTGGCTCCTGAATCAATGATTCATAATTCATTTTAAATGATTTCTAGAAGAACTTAAACTAATAGAACTTGGAGTCTTACCTGAGAGTGCAAGGGAAGAAGATGCATTTGATTTTTCAAGAGATACTAGGAGTGTTTCAATTTATAAATATCTTCTTTATTGAATTCTCCAAGGCTGGATTGTGCTTCTGGGGTGGGCTGACTTGTAGTGTTGTTGGCATGCGGCATGCTCATTGTTTCACCTTTTTGATTCCACTCCTTGCTGGGGGATTTTCCATGTATTTTCCAGCATGTTTCCTTTGTGTCTAGACTTTTTGCAATAATTGTACCAAAGTGAGTCATTGTCTTTGAATTTTGAAGAATCTTTACCTTTTTCCTTCCATTACGATTCTTTGTTCATCACCATTTCTGAACTTTTAACGAACTTTGGTTCTAACATCACTCTTCGTCGATTTTCTTCCACGCGTATGAGAGAAATGATTTCATTGAGTGATGGCATCTGGACTCTAACTTGGTCAAATTCTGCATTTAGTCTTGCAAGAAAATCATAAACTCTATCTTTTTCAATAAAGTTCTTTAGGATCACAGCATCTTCCGGACATCTGGTTTCTATGCATCTATAGTGATCAAGTTTTTGCCACAGATTTTGTAGAAGGGTGGCATACTCCGTCACGGTCTCACTCTCTTGTTTTGTGCTTCAAACTTTGACTTTAATTTCAAAGATTTGAGCCGCATCATGAGCTTTGGAGAAGGTTTGTCTAGCAGCATTCCATATGTCCTTTGTAGTGGAAAGGAACATAAATGTTTCGCTAATTTTTGGAGTCATGAAATTCCACAACCATGACGTAATCTTGGAGTATGCTTCATCCCATGCCCCAAAAGTAGGATCTCCTTGTCTTGATCCTCCTCCAAGAAGGTGGTGTATTTTTCCTTTCCCCTTTAAATAGGTCTTTACAAATCGAGACAACTTTAGATAGTTCTTCACGTTGAGATGATTGGAAGGTTGCATGCTTTGGAGGTCACCTCGTCCTTAGCGCGCCATCGACTCCTCAGTTTGATCAATGCTTTGGGATGAATTGATTTCTGACATTATGATAGTGATTAAGACTATCTGGTAGCAATGAAGGCTTCCCAAAGATTTTTTTTTGTTCGACAATAAAGGTTGAAAGGGATTTTTTTTAATAGAATGAGTCTTCCCGGACCGAGCCGATCCAAGTCTTTAAAAGACTCGGCTAGGGCACGCACGCAGGGAGCCACTCGGTTTCCTTGGTTCACAGGAGGCTCTTCGTCTCCTTCGCGGCTGTTCGTCTGCGCTCCTTTGTCGAGTTTCCCTTCCGGTTGGATCGATTTGCATGCTACTTCGATGATTTTCCCTTCTTGTCGGATCGGGCTCCCTGGCTGTTCGACTATGCTCCTTCAACGATCTTCCCTTCCTGTCGGATCAGGATGCTCGCCTTGCAGGAGGCTTCTTCAACTTCTTCCTTCATCGAGGGCAAAGCTTCCACTTCTTCTTTCGCCGACTTCGGCCTCCTGCTTCAGGCTTCGTTCGGTATGGCTTCTTCCCGCTCGGTTCCCTCTTCCCTTCATGTCTCTGATACCATGTTAGATTTAGATAATTGGAGAGGGAAAAGCTTACTTTTATTCCATAATATCTTCTCTATTTATAGATCTATACAAGATATCTTAATGATGAAACAATAAATTACATATTTAAAATAAAAAATCCCTAATATACTCTTTCCTAAATTAGTTCCTTCAATATGGCGTGATCCATGAGAGTTTCCCACGGATTGATTTTTGTGACTGTCGGATCCTTTGCAATGGGAACGGCTGGATTTCAACATTTTTAATAGCACATTTGCCATGTTTTCTGTGACTTCTCAAAATCTCCTCTCCATATATTAACCCCTCTTTTTTCTATGTTTTGATTAGTTTAGTCCAAGTGTGTCATCTTGTTTTACTACAATAAATGCTACCTTGAGAAACAGATTCTCGTAAGGCATCACGCACCTTGAAATTTGCAGATTTTTATGGCTTGAGGAAGGATGTTCAAGTTGCTGCAGAGCGTGTTGAGGAAATAAGCGCTGCTACCGGTCTGGAATGTTTAGAAGCAGATCTTAGTGTTCTGGAGAGGAAGGCTGCAGAGAGTTCTCTGTGGGATGATCCTTCTAAAGCTCAGGAAATACTTCTTGCATTGACTGATATTAAATATAAAATCAAACAGGTCAAAGAATTCAAATCTCAGGTTAGTGTTTGATACGTGTTTTTTTTTCCAGTCTTACGCACCGTACCACCATACTTTGGTTGAACAAAATAGAAGGTAATCAATTTGTAATTCTGCACGTTTTTTAAGTTTTGAAGACTCGGTTGTTTTTCTGAATGATGTTTTCCATTCCAGGGATTTGAAAAATAGTGAACGTGTTGTCATATTACTGATCAAATGATACCTACGGATCGTGGGTATCAAGCTTGACCTGTCTATATTGAGTTATTTAATTATCAGATTGTAACAATTATAGCTGATAGGAATTTGAAGGTACAAAATTTCTTGAGGTTTTTGCAGGTCCCAGTTAGTGCTAGTATGATATATGGATGTGATATGAGGTCTTCAGTTTTGCACAAAAGAAAAATTTCCAGTTTTCACAAGCGAATGTATAATACAATGGATTAATGTGCTTTTACAATGCAAGTAAACCGATAATAAGATTTTGCTAGCAGATGGGACATTTTTTATCCATCTAAAGAGAAAATTGTTTAAAATTATAATGATGCTCTGAATTCATGGACATCCAATTGAAAAACTGCGTAGAGAATCAAGAGATCCTGCCGTCCCTTTTGTTTCCAGTTCAGAAAAATGGCGTTATATAACTTTTCGATTTATACTAGGTTTACAGCAGGAGCAGATACCTAATTAAATTGCTACTCACTATTTATTTTTCTTGTCAGGCATCAAGCATAGATCATCAATTTTGAGTTTAAAACTCATGAACTAGGCCATAAACTATTTGTTTTCCATCATCTTTCCTCCCCATAAATTGATCTATGTTATAAATGGATTCTCAAATTGGGGAATTCAACTTCCAACTGTTCTTCAAATCTCATAATTCTTCAAATGCATACTTAAGCTCTAAATCTTTCTGTCTCACTCGTCTAGGAACCTGACTTTTTTAGATTATTCTACTTTCATTCAAATGAGTATTCACTGGATGATTTTACAGTATTATTATATCACATCCTCTGTTATTGGAAGCTTGTTCTTGTTTATGGGATTGCTTATGATGTCTTGCAAAACCTGGTCTCTTACAAAATGAGGGCTTGCATGCTCCATTGTAGGCGGAGAGTTGCCTAGTTTTGCTGGGTTTATAAGTTGAACAGATTAAATTAGACCGAGGAACTGATGTTCAAATCTTTGCACCAGATGACATTTGTGGTTTACCTGGCCATCACACTCTTTAGTGTTCTTTGATACTGCCCAAGTACGGACTCCTCTCACAGTTCTCATCTTCTCTGTGCATGGAATAGCCTTTAGTGGACTGCTTTATTTCAGAGTGTAAGATGTTTACAGGGGAAATGAAGAAGACTTGATCATTGACATTTAGGCCACAAATTATTAGAAGGTTTATGCAATTAAGAGCATGTTATGCTAACCTATTTGTGTGTTTTTGCGTCTGGTCCAATGCTTGAAGGAAAGAGACACCTTTCCTCACTTGCAAAGAGGTGAAATTTTTTGTGCATATGTTTGCAACAAGAACAGCAATTAATCAACATTTGTGCATGGTAAAGCACCTGTTACACCAATATGCATCTTTTTTTGGTAAGGCTACAACCACTTGGGTTTCCTGAAATTGTATGTGAGAAAATCATTCCGGTTATCTAAGTTAGATGATTTTTCGTTTGACACAACATCTTGTCGTACTGTTGTTTTAAGCTATTTCTTTTTTTAATTTTTCCCACAAAAGGTTTTCATTCCCATGTTTACCTTAACAAGCCTTCTCCTTTCTTTCTATCATAACTGGAAATGAAAGTTCTCCTTTTATTTTTCACCCTGACGAAGTGAAGTTTAGGAGTTCCCCATGGAGAACAGACTGTTGGGCAATGTAATCAACAAACTTTGGTGAAAGTTTACAGCAATGATTATATTATTGGGGTCTTTTTTGTATCTCCACCCGGCAGTTTATTCATTTTGTATTTTATTCTAATTTACTTATTTTATTTTACCCATTAAAAATGCTTAATTTTTTTTTTAGCTTAGCCAACATATTTTAGTATACAATCACTTCCCATTATAGCGTCTCAAAACATATTAGAGATAAATGGTTTTCAATTTTGGGAAGTGTCACACTCTTTTGTCAACAATTGATATAATATTTATATTTCGCAAAAAAATCAGTTCTATATTGAATTAAAAAAAAACAAAACTTCACATCTTATGAAGGGGAAGCGATCCAAAATTTATTAATAATTTATACATGCAGAGCAACTACCAAATCCTAACCCTTTATATATGTTAAATCAGCATTACACTTAAAATATAAATAATAAAGTACAAAAAAATTAGTTGAATATATTCCTACCCATCCTCAACCTTAATCTTTCATTTTCCTATAAAAATAACCAGAATAAAAATCTAATTAGTTATAAGGCTTAGAAAATATGTAGCATTAAGACAAGATTCAAGTATACAAAAGATGTAATTAACATGCAGATGCAAGTATAATAATTATATGTAAATAAGTTATGTATGCTTTATAACACTTTATTAACATATTTAAATTCTATGAATGGGATATATCCAAAGACCATGTAACACTAATATGCTCACCTAAATCAAAAGGCAAAGTACCAATTACGATACTACTAGAAAAGTAGTATCATGTTAATTGTTTTGAATCTTTCATCTTGGATTTAATCACATAGACATTTTATTTAATTGAACATATTTACTTTCACATTTCATATTTTTCTTACCTAAGGATGTGTCATATCAAGATGTCTAGTTTTAGATTATCTCTAGCCCGTGAGCTTCATCATACCGAGGTTACATTGCTTCCTGAGGTCGCATTGCCTCCATAGCCCGCAGGCTTCCTTGTACCAAGGTCGCATTGCCTCCATTTGGGTCATATTGCCCATTGGGGTTGCGCTGTGCCTCCTGCCAATCACCTTAAATGACATTTTCTTAGGACTACAGACTTTAGTCACTGCATTTGCCTTATTAATTACACTTTTCATACGTCAATTTAAAATAAATAGGTATACCATGCATTTATAAAAGAAAGCCTGTACAGATTACATGCCTTTTATTTAACTTTGCAACATGTTGTAAAACATGAAATGCTTCCAATATATTTTGTAATATGTGATTCCAATTAATACTATGTAAAATTTCTAACGAATAGCACACTAAATTGGTTACCGTGTAAGGGTACGTGAAATAGGTTAAAGTACTTGCTTTTTAAATTATAAATTACACATCTTACTCGCTTATGCGGATATAGAAGCTACAACGATCCATTCAACTTATACAATTTCTGTTAGAATCCTATAATTATAGTTTTGTTTTATTGCAGAAATGACTTTTAACTCAATATTTCCTCTCATACACTGTCTAAATCTTCAAAATTCCCCTCCTTAAATACTGTTCATATCCCAAATAACAACTGGATATTTTTAAAAGTGAACTTTTCACAAACAAATATATACAATATACTACTTTTCCTTACCTTTTTCTCCTTTCTCTTTTTTCCTTCATCTTCTTCAACTTCTTTTTATTCTTCTTTCCAGCTGAATTCCCTAATACCACCTTTGGCCTGCACCCGCTTGCCACACTTCCGCTCCTACCTGAGCTACAGCACATGCAGAAAGTCCAAAACCAAGTGATTAGCAGGCTTGCAGCCTCGGCAAAGCAGGGATGGAGGATTTTATTTTGCTTAAATAAAGAAAATTACATAATTTGTTCCTTGCCCTGCTACAGTAAATTTCATAAATAAACTGGAAAAAATAAAACTTCGGGAGTTTTATTCAAACGGGACTTTTTTTTTTGCAAGCACAACGTTGTGCTTTATTCAAACGGGACTTAATTCAATAACTTTCACATATTTTCAATTTAGCATATACTTCTATACATCAGTTTGCTCCATTCAACGAATTGAACACAATGACATGCTTTTTGATAATTTTGTGAAAGTTTGTAGTATATTTGAATTGAAGAAAATTGGCATATACCTTAGATAAATTTGGGTATAACAGGAACTCACTTGGAGAAAGTAATTGCATTAGAGAAAATTTAAAGTTCCATGTCAAAATCGAGCGAGTTATGCTGTGACACTCTTCTAATTGGGAACCAAGGGGTATAGCCAAGCAATTTTCTTACTATTATGTCTGGATGATTGGAAACAAGTGTAAAAGTATGAAAAAGAAAGAAATATTTGGATGAAAACATAAGTACTGTTAGAAGGATTGGAAAATGATTAATTAACGTTGTCAAAATTTCAACTGTCAGAGCATGCTGGCCTTGATGATAAGAGAAGCGACTATTTCTAGCCAATATGAGTGCTGCCTTTGAAAGCAGGACTTTTTTTTTCTTGAAAGCCTGAGATGAGTGGACATGACGTTATCTTTTCAAGAATTCTACAGCAGACTATATTTTTTATTTTGGCGCGCTTTGTGTGAAAGAAATATTTTTATTAATAAGCCCGCTGCAGCAAAACATGAACATACCAAATCATCTACTTCTGGATTAATAGCAGCATAGTTTTAGTATTCAAAATAATCCTCTTAAGCTTTCAGATTCCTAGTTCCATATTTACTTTCCATGTACTTTGCCATCTTGCTTCTTTTTTCTGCTCGCCTCTCCCTATTAGTCGAAAGGCTTTCTATGAATTTTGAACTTTTTCTGTGCTGTGAAAAATATGAGATACTTGAGCTGTGCACCACTACTGTTGATCATGAATTTTGGAATAAGTTATTGAGAAGTTATGATTTTCCATATGCTTTATCTCAACTGCGAAGATATGATATTTGTTTGGTTAATTGAAGAGGAAATAACTAGCGGCTTTCTTTTGCAAAATTGCAATGTTGTATGCATGAGGTCAGAGTTCAAACTCAACATAGGGAAATGAACAGTAGTTAACTGTATCAGTGTTGAATGTGAAGTATTTTGTCATTGTAAAAGTTAAGCACGAGTAATACTTATGATACACTTTTTTTTTCCCAAAATTTAATAGTGCATGAATTATTAGCATCTTTTGGATATCTTATGTACATTGTTTGCAGGTGGAGGAAGCTGAAACAATAGTTAAATTGATAGAGGAGTTTGGTTCCATTGATTCTGGGCTACTTGAGGAAGCTTCTAAGATCATTAGAGAATTAAACAAGGCATTGAATCATTTTGAGTTGGCACAACTTTTGTCTGGACCTTATGACAGGGAAGGAGCTACAATTGCTATTACTGCTGGTGCTGGGGGCACGGATGCACAGGTATGCATTCACTACAAAAAAATATTCCATTTTTGGCAGCTAATGACCATGAGACCATGCATACATACATTCACCTTGCATCCCTTAGTACCCATTTAACTTTCCTTTCTTCATGTTACATTTCTTGATATCTGTATATCTCATCGGAAGATGGAACATATAAGAAATGCAGAACTTTATGTGTTTGTCCTGTGTACGAGTATTTCGGAAGATGGAACATTATTTGGTGGCCATTTTTCAAATATTTTATACGATTTTAATATGAAAATTATCTTTTGATATATTGTTTAATTTTTTTTACCTTTTTGGAGGCGCATTGCATCTCTTATTTTTTTAATGCATCTCAGTCTAGATTATTATTTTTTCTTGGGTTGATTACAATCCTCAAATTTAGTGAATTGCTTTGAGCATTAGATCTTCTATTATGGAAAAGTTGATTTCGAGATTGATGAAGGATCATCACAGCCATCGATTTCATATTTATGGTTATTTAGTGAGGACACCTTATATCTCTCGTTGCAAGTCTGAAAATTTTTTAGCTTTGTATTTAAAATCCATAGTCTATATAAAGGGTTTTATTGTCTTTTATTGGATTAAAAGCATGGTTACTTGATCTAGCCGTTCTTCCTTTTTCTCTCTTCCTTTGGCTTGTATACCCTTCCTCCCTCTCTCTTCCTTGGGTTGAGTATCTTTCCTTACTCTCTTCCAATCCGTACCGATTTCTCAAGCTTCATAATTGTTTTAATGCATTCGAACTGCATTAGTTTGTATCAAAGCCCAATTCAATATGGTAATTCATCATCTCCTTTGGATGGCTTGTATCTGCATCACTTTATTTCACAGAATCACCTACTAGAAATCATTTTGCTACATCATGATTTCAATATCTCTGCATTGATTTCTTGCTGCCTTGACTATTGATTTGCTGGTGCAATTTTTTAAACATAATGCAATTCTGCTGTGGAAGTAAGTAGAGGTACTAGATTTGACTTATGTTAAGAAAGGTAGAGGCAGACCTAAAAAGACTTAGTTAGAAAATATTAGAAATGATCTTTCTTTATTAGATTTAAACGAGAATTTGATTTTTAATAGTACACAATAGAGAAAAATGATTCATGTAGCCGACCCCACATAGTGGGATAAAGTCTTGATGTTGTTGTTGTAATGCAATTCTGCTGTAAGTTTTGAGCATTTTCCGGAAAACCCTACTTAAATCCTGCATCGCATCGTTATCTACACCACTGCTTCATCTTGCATTTAAAACTTTATATTCTATTTGCTACTGCGTTTCAGCAGCATCCCACGTCTAATGTTTTGTTGTATGATGCATCCCTCTACCTCCTCCATCAGAAGCTTTAGAGAAATCTCTCCTTGCTTCATCCAAGACCTTTTCTCCACTTTAGTAGCCCATGAAACTCCCCGCAACATGAAAATGTGCTAAGGATACCCCAAACTCGAGTCCTGTAGCAAATAATAAACAACCCGTTGAGGTTCAGCGCCTCTTCTCTCACTTTAGAGAGAGTGCTTGCAAATATTCTTGCTAATTCAACTAAAGCACTTCCTATAAACTCCTTCCTAAGATTTCTCTCAATTCAATTTGAAGATTAATTCAATTAAAATGTTAAAATTGATATTAAACTTTAATTAACTAATTTAGTTTATTAATATTTAATAGAAATTAATTGATCAAAATTAATCGAAATAATTGATTAATTGAGATAATTTTTTTATGATCATTAGAGTTTTCTACATCATCGAATGCATGAGTGTTGAGAAGTTGCAAACATTTATCTTCATCCAGGCCAATATTTCCTTCTTTTTAATGACCTTTGCAATTATCATTGCAATTAAGTCCATTTGAGTTGTTACCAAAAGCCTATAACCAAAAATTGCCATAAGCCAGAGGAGTGAGCATGTTCTCCCATTTACTTTTATCCTACTACTCATCATTCTCCCAAATGTCATTTAGCATAAGAACTTTTTGGACATTATTTCAATCCAAAAACTATGTTAAATGGCCTCAAATGTCTCTAAATGAGACATCTCATTAAGAGAATCCATGGCATTTCAAACACTATTCCCCTATGAAATATTAGAGGTCATTGGCTGTCACAACAGCATTCTCTTCCTCTAACTAATGAAATAACAAGACTTAAAGTTAATTAAGTTAATTAAATTTGATTAAAATTAATTGATTAGTGAAAATTAATTAGTAGAAACTAATTGATTAATTTAAATTTAATTGAGATTAATTAATTAATTAAATGAAATTAATTGATTTGTCAAAATAAATTAATCAATTGAAAGTAATTGGTTAATTTAAAAATCCAAGAGCATTTGTAAAATCCAAGAGCAATTTAAAAAATTTGAGAGCAAAATTGGTTGAGTAAAATAAAAAATTTTAATTAATTAAATTGATTAAATAATCAATTAATGTGAAAAGAGCCACTCTGGTGAATTTTCATTTTCCACTAATCAACCCTATGTACAAGCTGCATTGAAACCAACACAACTCAAACTCAAGTCAACCTACACACAACACACAACTCACAACTCAACTCACAAACCCAATCTTTGTAAAAACAACTCTCAACTCAATACTGAAACTCTCAAATATTGCTCTCCAACTCAAACTCTCCAACTCAACACTCCCACTCAAACAACTCTCCAACTCTCCAGTACTTTTGAACAAGGTTCCAAAATCACACGAGCTCCTGTAACAAACAAATGAAATTAATTAAGCATTAAAATTGATTTAATATAAAAATAAATGCTAAATCAGGAAAAAGAACAAATGATACACTAAGCTACAAACAAAAAGTAGAACATGCTATTGAAAGTAGAACATTGCTAAATGAAAAAAAGAGCAGGGTAAATCATTGAACTGCTTAAACAAGAAAATAAGTACTATACCAAAAATACTAGTATCACACAACGACAATTGCTGGCTAGTAAATGTCAAATTGGTAGACAAACTGCTAGTAAATAACTGAAAATTATAATCTGGTATCAAGCTAACAAACAACTGCTGTCAACTCAAACAAACAAACAATTAAACTTATTGGGCATCATAAATTATAGGATTAGATTGTAAGACTCACTATTGTGCTACTTATAAGTGAAGTAACAAAACCCACATTTTAGAGAATCTCTAAATAAAATGCAATATTCCTTAAAATCTCAACCAAATTCAAACTAACGAACAGTTTAACCTATGGGGCTAAATTGTAAGACCCACCAATGGGCTACTTCCAAAGGGAAGCAATAAGATCCGTCATACACAAATAATTAGCCAACTTCTAATGGGAGTCATGAAACCTATTATTTAAGAAATTTCTAAATATCAAACCCTCAAACCAATAAATTCAAAGCTAACGGGCATCTTAATTTAAAGGATTAGATTGTAAGGCCCACTTTCAGGCAATTTCCAAAAGGAAGCTATAAGACCTACCCAAACAATTAAATCTCCAGGCAACCTTTCTGTAGAGTTAGGTTGTAAGTCCCACTAACGGGCAACTCCTAATAGAGTCGTAAGTCCCACTCTAAATTACACATACATACAACTTCTAAGGAAGTCGTAAGACCTGTCAATCAAATTCAAAATTAATGGATAACTTTGCTATAAAGCTTAGTTTTAAGACCCACCAATGAGCTTATTAATAGAAGCCGTAAGACCCATTTTACAGGCTATTTTCAATGAAAGTTGTAAATCCCGACCTAATTCAAACTTCTGGGTAACTTCTAAACAAAGTTATAAATCCCAAACCAAATTGATTTGTGGGTATTCTAACAGATCTAAACCCCAAAACCCAATAAAATTAAATTCATATTCAATCTCCTCAGTCTACTCGGGATCTCTGAGAGGAGGCAATCCATGACTGTTAATTAGATTTTCTGGACACTACGGTCAATGATTGTTAGTGTTGGTAGATTGAAATATTTAGCATACCCGGGATGACAGAATCATGTGATCTTAATCGGGTTTATCTCCATTTCTCCCACAATTGAGATTAAAACATCTAAAAATTATTCATCCTTAATTGAGAGTTCTCTCTTACATGTTAAGAGGGGTAATTAAATATGAGTACTTGCGAAATAAGGACTTAGATCTAATTAAACCCTAATACTACCCTCAAGAGAAATCTGGTTAACTACAATCTGACCCAATAAAGATGGAATCCTATAACTGCAAAGCGGGACTCACGCATTCGTGTCATTTTTCTTGAGCCAACAAATACCTATTCTAATATAATTGAACCTCATTCTTACTACTATAAGCTCACTATGAGCCTCATGTTACACTATTGTGGTCTCAAATAATCATTTTAAATTTTATTATCATTTTCTTAATGTAATGCTTTAGAAGACTTTTTTTGTGTAAGAAGGTTGATGCATTAATATTTTTTGGGGTATAAATATCTATTATAGCATCAGATCCCTAACTTGACGTTTCTAAACCTCAATGACATACTTGATCAAATTTCTCTCTTTGAGACATCTCTAACCAATCATTGCCCTTTAAGATACACATACTATGATCTCAGATCACTAACTTATATTATTTGACATATATTTGAGAGTCTAGTGATGAGCGACAATTGCTACATAAGATACAATGTGGATTAAATCTTACTCATAGAGCTTTGTTATTTTATTTGACTCACTTGATTGTGCATTCTAAGCTATATTATGTTGTCAATGGTTTGTTCTTAATGCCTCCTAACTTGATTAGCATGACTCATTATTCATTGTATGATATTGCATTTTCATTAGCACTTTATGCATACAGTCTTTACTAACATTTGCTAAAACATGTTGACATAAGTATTCATAATATTTCTAGAACTATTTTTCAAAAATACTCACCTGGGGTATAAAATGTAACAACAAATTATTTTTATTGCATTTTCTTTAGATTTCATGAACTTCTACTGTATAACTTTTGATATATTGTATTACTGATTATTGTTAAATTTTTTAACGGGTTGATTTTGTAATTT